CCCCAGTTCTGTACATCAACGCTATCCCTGATTAATTAATCCGAGCACACAAATCCCAAAATGTCTTGGTATTTTGGTGTCTTACAAAGTCAACTGAGATCAAGCTGGATTTATGGATGCCCCAGCAATTTGAAGGGATTGATCTGATATTTTTGGTGATCAAAACAACCAGGCACGTGCTGTTTGTGCACGTCAGGAAAGCTTCCTGGGGGAATGTGAGCAGAGGGGAGGAGGAGATGTCACATTTCCACTGGAGGGAGAGCCAGTGAAGAAGTAAGAAGCTGCAGACAGCAAGGTGTAATCTAGTAAATCCTCTGAATAACTTAATTAGATTTGATTCAGCAAAACACATGTCCAGCTTCTGCTGAACACCAGCCAGTGTTGGGGGGGCAGGGACTTTCATGAATCCTGCAGGAAACAGCTTCTGCAGGGATTAAAGGAACTGGGCACAAGAGGCACTGAGATAGTCCTGCTTTGATGAAGATTTTTAATCTAAAGGTGCCAGGTTTGCTGATGCTGCCAGAGAATCAAAAGTATCATGGAACTGGCTAAGGGGAAGGGCAGAGGGTTTCATTCCATGAGGCTGGGAGGAGTGAGGAAGCTGTAGCCCAGTCAGGCTTTGCCCATCTCTTTTCCTTCCTCTCTCCCCACTCTGTGTGAATTTTGCACTTGACACATAGGGGAAAAAAAGTAGAAACTCCACTGAATTCAAGGGAGAACACCCTGTTCTTTTGTGGGGCATCAAAGATACAGGGCAATTTTGAAAAAATCTCTGTTTTTTCCTGTTTAGGTTTTGCTGTCAGACTCCAGGTTGCTGTAACTCAGCATAGGTCCATTTTGGAGCCAGCTGGAAGCCTGGTGGGCGTAATTGCATTGCTGCCTGTACAGTTCTTGACTTGCATCAAGGTGAAAAAGAGAGGCGGGTCCACTGCATTGCAAAAGTTTTGGAAAGTGCTAGAGAAACAAAGACATCGCTGTGAAAACAGAGGTTGTAGAAAGCCTCTCTGTTCATTTCTTGTTTGTTAAGGGTAGCTTTCCCCACTCGTGCCAGATGATTTGGCTCTTCTTCATCCTTCTTGCTTCATAATGCTTGGGTCAGCTTTTCAGTGGGCAGTGCTTTTTGTCGGGACTGTCAAGAGGTGATCTCCAGAGCAGGATGGATTTTCTGTCTTCCCCTGGCTATCTTGCTGCCTGGCTGTGTGCTTTTTGCCTCCTCTGCATTTTGTCTACTCATCTTTGTGTTTTACTCTGCCTTCTCGTATCTTTCCCAGTTCTAGCTCTTTTTAACTGTTTTTGGACAATCTTTTGTTTACTTTTTGCCAAGTTCCATTCTTTTAGCTGAGGATGTTCAGAGACTGGATCTGGTCCTCAGATATAGACAATCCAATTTACAATGGATGCCAAAAATACATTTTCATCATGACACTTTGAAGATGTTTATTTCAATTTACTTAAAATGTGCCTAGGTCAAACCCTGCATGTGTATAAAACTTAACAGCAAAATGAGACATGACTCATTGTCAGTGTCATATTTTCTGGAAAAATCCCTTTGCCAGGATTTCTTCTCCTGGGAAACTGAGAAGCCTCAGAGAAAAATGAAAACAATGTTTGCTTCTCCTGTGTTTTGCTGCTTTGGAATGTGGTTAGAGATTGTTTATCCAACATGTGCATATTTGATTGGTTTCATGTGAATTGTTTTTACTTAATGACTAACCACAGTCAGGCTATGTCAGGACTCTGGAGAGTTTTTTATTAGTATCTTGTTAAGCCTTCTGTAAGTATCTTTATTCTTTAGTATAGTTTTAGTGTAGTAGAATAGAATAGAATAGAATAGAATAGAATAGAATAGAATAGAATAGAATAGAATAATAAATTAGCCTTCTAAGAACATGGAGTCAGATTCTCAATTCCTCCTCTGTCTGAGGGACCCCAAAAATACCACACCTCACCATTTAAGATTTGTTTGCTCAGGACTGGATCCGGCACAGACTTGCAGCTATCTTTTCTCTTGAATAGCTCGTATCAGCTTGGGTTCATTTTAAATTTGTCTACTTATTAAGCTCCTCATTATGATAGTATGTGAGCATCCCAAATGCAGGTGGCTAGGTAAGAAGCACCCTTTGTGTTTAGAGTTAAGTGACCTGCTGGTGGTCTCCTGATGGCTGTTTGCAGCAGAGCATGTAGCTCAGCTGTAGCTGTGAGAAGAGGCTGGGAGCCAGCAGTGTGGCTGTGCTGGGCTGGAGTTTGGTGTCTCAGCAGGGAACAGCAGCCAGCGAGCTGTGCTCTCCCAGCAGCAGCAACGTGACCCCAGCCCTGACGCATGCACCATCACCCAGAGGGGGAACTGAGGGGTATGGGAAGAAGGGAAATACTCTGGGGGAACTGAGGTGTATGGGAAAAAGGGAAGTAGTCTGGCCTGTGAAATGATCTATAGCTCAGGTGATGGCTCCAAGGGCAGAACCCAAGGGCTGAAGTCCCCAATGAGCTGCTGTGTGAGTGCTCAGAGCTTTGTGCTGCAACCTTGGGGTGCAGGCACAGCTAACAGGGAGCTTCCCCAAAGTCACTACAGGCAGAGCTGAAAGCAAGCACTCCGTATACATTGGCAATAAGTATCCAATCCCTGGCTTTGAGAAGGAAAAGAGGAAATTGGGAACTATTTTGGTCTCCTGTGTCACCCACCCCAAGTCATTCTGTGCAGCCAAACCAGATAAAAGGTTTATGACTCTGCCTTTCTTCTCTATCAAGTACTTTGTCTCTTTGGAGTTTGCATTCCTGGAGTTCATTCCCCTCAACAGACTCAAGTGAGACTGTTGTTTGTTACCCGTGTGTCTGCAAGTGTTTGGTTTTCACTCTGGTTTTCCAAGAGGAGGAACAATGTAGGTACAGATTCCTCTGCTGCTTGTTTTCTGCCCTTGTTGTATTCGGATTAGTTAGATGAGACCTCTGACATGGGTCTTCAAGTGAGATGTTCAAAGCCTGGGGAGAGGAAAGGGCCATGGCTATAAAATTAAAATAAATCCCCAGGAATACAGGCTGAAATAACCTCGTGCCACATAACCTACTTGGAATCTCTTATGTGCGCAGTACTTTTGCATTTACAAAAGCGTTTTCATTTAAAAACAGAGTAAGTCAGGCTTCTCCAAGGCAGATTTTTCCCCCACATATCTCCAGTAACAACAGTATTTTACATTCCAGAAAGCTCCCAAAGCAAGCTCCAAGCTGAGGTGTATTTTGGGACTCTGTGAGCCTCGGGTTTCTGAACTGTGCATCACTGAGAGATGATGCCAGAGGCCAAAAGGCACAGTGTCATCTGTGAGAGAATTCAGATTTGGACTGTATGGGTGTATCTGACTCAAAGCTGTTAACTTTTGGTAGTACTGATGTGTCACCTCAGTCATGATCTTCATTACAAAATTCTCCCTGTCTTTGCAAGGATTTTCCCTGTCCTTTCCATCTGCTTTGTCGTATCTCATAGATGAATCTAATTAGGAAGATTTAAGAGGAAATCATGGGGTAATTTCATAGAAAAGCAACTTTTCCCTACTGCCCCCCTTCCACTCCCCGTGGCTCCTACTTTGCAGTCACTTCTCCCATCCCTCAGAACAAGCAGTTCTGAAGCAACGGGATGAACAATACCAGTTTCCCGTGTAGTTTTGCACATCTGGGTGGCTGACTAGTCCAAAAGCTACAATCTCTGATAAAATTTGCTGCGTTTTGGGGGGGGCACAGTGATGGTGTTTATGTGTGGGGTTTTTGCTATGTTGTAAGGTTTAAGCCCACACAAGTGCTCCAGCCGAGGCATGGGCAGACTCCCTCCCCTTTTTTCAGAGAACAACTGTTCTCCAAAGGCTCGGGAGCGATCGCTGGGTCTTCTCTCTGTCAGGAAACAAGTCAGACGGTGGCCAAAACCCTGCGGGCGCATTTGGGGAAGCACACGAGCATTGCCTGACACACAGGTGATCACACACGCCTCAGTTCCGTGGCAAGCAGCTCAAAACGCGGCAGGCAGAGCTGCACAGCACCAGGCTCAGGAGCTGGCAGGCTGCTGTATGAAGTAAACTCCAAAGCTGAGAATCTGCCGTAGACAATTGCCTCTCTTCCCGCATCTGCTCTTAAAGGGGCACTTTCAGTCTGCCCAGGACCTTGCTGGGACTCTCCGGCTCTCAGCTGAGCCGCTTTCTCCTCGCCGGTCCAAGTGTGCAATGGTTTCAGTCTCCTGCGCGGCCGTCTCCCAGCCGCCGGGGGAACTCCGGCTCCTCAGGCTCAGCCCCGGGGCCCCGCCGCAGACAAAGAACGAACGGGGGTTCCGAGCGCGCTGTCCTTGCCGAAGGACGGGGAGCGGCCCCGCGGCTGAGCGCGCCCCGCCGGTCGGGGCTGCTCGGTGATGCTCAGGGCCGCTCGCCGATGCTCGGGGCCGCTCCGGCCGCGCTCCGGCGGCTCCGGGCGCTGCGCAGCGCCCGCGGCGGGGGCGCGGGGCGGGGCGGGGGCTGCCGCGGGATTGGCGCGGGCCGCGTGATGCCACGTCCGGCGGGGGAAGCCCTGCCCGCCCGGAGCCGCCCCGCCGCCGCTCGGCGCGCAGGTGGAGCGGTGCCGGCACAACCCAGCCCAGCCCAGCCCAGCCCGGCCCGGCCCCGCCGCCGGAGCAGCCCCGCAGCCCGCCCCGCGCCCCGCCCCGCCGCGCTCCGCCCGGCCCGGCGGCGCCGCAGCCGGCAGCATCGCGGCGGGACTGCCCGGGGATGCAGCCGCGCTAAGAACAAAAGCCCTCAGCGCGCTCTCGCTCCGGGGCTTTGAAGCGGTGCGGCCGAACTTGGATCTCTGCTCCCCCCTCGGCCGAGCCGCGGCGGCGTCCGGGGCTGAACTCGGCGGCGCCTTCTCCCCTCACGCCGCGGGCAGCCGGGGCTCGCCCGCCCGCCGCCCTCGCCCGCCCGTCCCGCCGGGGCTGCCCGCGGAGGGGCCGCACCCCGCGCCGCGGGACCTTGGCTTTGCCCTTCGCTCGGCAGGTGGCGGGGCCAGCGGAGAAGGATGCGTGTCTTCCCGTGGGGATTTTGGCTGCTGTGTGTCGCCTCCGCCCCGGCTCGCGGTGACAGCGGCAGCAAGGCGAGGAGCTGCGCCGAGGTCCGGCAGCTGTATGGAGCCAAGGGCTTCAGCCTCAGCGGCGTGCCCCAGGCCGAGATCTCCGGTGAGTGCCGCGGGGCCGCTGCCAGCCGGGGGATGCCGGGCACGGCTCGGGAGCCGCGGGCGGGAGCGCTCCGCTCGCCGCCCCACGCTGGAGTTTGGCTCGGGCCGTGGGCGGCAGAACTCGGAGCGGAGCGGGCTCCCCAGAGCCAGGCGGGCTCCCCTGGCCCCTCTCGGCACCGCCGGGAGCCTGCCCGCGCTCAGAGGGTCTCTGCCGGCGGTGGGGATGCGAACGGAACTGTGAGAGCGGGGGGTGGTCGCATCAAGTGTTCGGCGGTGGCTCTTTCTTTTTTCTCATTGTCTCGTTGCTTCTGTTCTGAGTACAAGTGAAACGGGTTTCAGGGTTTTGATTCGGAAATCAGGATAATCGGAATGTAATGGGTTTTGGTGTCTGAGCTGGAAAACGCCAAGAGGTTGTGAGAGAGGAATTGATTTATTTAAATCTTCTTCTGGGTGGGAAGCAAACGCGTAAATGGTATTTGCCACTTACTAAAAATGAAGCAGGAGTAAAATGACTGTGTCAAACGTGGAGTGCAGAGGAAACCCGTGCAACCTACATTAGAGCTTGTCCTCTTGCCTTCATTCCGGCTTTGGATGAATCTTGGTTATTTCCTCCTCTTTGTAGAAACAACTGAAATAGCAAAGAATATTCAAGGTCTGGTTTGTGTTGGGTTTGGATTTGATTTTTTTTTTTTCTCTGAAGGCTTGGGGAAAATATGCTGATGCACTGTAGGGCTTTTTTAAATTCTCATCAAAGTTTTGATACACCAACTTGTGACCCATATCCAAGAGCCTTCTCTTCACTTGTGGGGAGCTTCCTCCTTCAGACAAAGCATAAAACATGCAGGCGTACGTGCCAGAGCCAACCCACAGGGACACCCCAGTAAAACTGCAGTTTGTACTGCACATCTAAGCTACACAATGCCTTATGTTGAATATTTCATCAGGTAATTTTTCAGAGAAACCAATTTGTTGTCTGACCAATGAATGGAGAAGGCTGAACTATATATATGCCTCATAAATGTGAATAAATTAATACCTTCTTTGTCAGCTTACAACTGAGAGTAAATTTCCAAAGTAAAACGAGCAGCCCTCAAAGTTAAACAGTGGGGAGTTTCAGAATCATTTGAACATCACTATTAATGGAATAGCACTTGAGCTGAGCAAGAAAGCGGCTTTTTATGAGTTTGCATCTAATTATTGCAGATGTGAATACATTAGCTGTCGTGTTTCAAGTGGGAAGTTCTTGGAAGGCTGAGTGTTTACAAACAGTGCTGGAGGTGGCTGCAGCCTGCACACGGGATAGTACTACGGGCAGCAGCTGCGCTACCAGGAGTGTGATTGCAGGTCAGCAGCCAGCTAAACACCTTGTACCTGCGAATTGCTGAGTTCCAGGAGTGTCAGGACACGGATTTCCAGGATCCAGGAGCTCTGATTCCTGCCTGGTGTTGGTACAAGCATGCACTGGTGGTCTCAAGGCACAGTGGTTAAAACTGGAGTATCGAACCAGGCGCCTCTGACTGTGTCTGTAGACAGAGAAACTCTCTAGATAAATGCCATGAAAACTTGAGGAGTACTGCATGGAAAGTAATTCGAAGAAGGTCCCACACGTAAACCTGCTGCTGCTGCCATTAGCCTGGTGTATAAAACAGCTGCCAGACTTGATGATTTTCATTGGTAATTACCTCCTGACCCATGCACGATCAGGAACGCGCTTCTGTGTCGCTGTATCACTTGCCCAGTACAGTTAAAACATCAGTGAGTACAGATATAACCTTAGAAACTCCTGACAAAGCACTGTGTTGTGTATCCTCTGTGCTTCTTAGCAGCTGTGCAGGCTAGTGCAAAGGCTGGTGCCAGTTTTGCTGTCTCCAAGAAGAGGAGTCTCAAGAGCCCCCTTGCAGTATCCCCACACGTACCAAGTACAGGATCATGCAGTTGATAATTCTACATGTGCTCGTTGCTTCAGGCTGGTTTCAGTGGCAGCAGTTCAGCTTGCTGACCATGGGGGTTGGCACCTGCATGGAGCCTTGCCAGGTGATACCGCTGACACCTGTGAATGCATCCCTGGGCACACACCTGAGGAGGGGCAGGGGTCTTTTGCCATGTCTCAAGTGAAAGGAGAGGAAAGGACTTAGGTTGTGCCAGGGCAAGTTCAGATCACATATTGAAATGAAATGTTCACAGAAAGGGTAGCCATGCATTAGGGTGAGGTGGTGGAGTCACTCAGAGCTGTGGATAAGGGGTTGTTTTGGGGGATCAGGGGTTGTTTTGGTAGTGACTGGATAAAATTATATTGAAGAGTTCTTCCAACTTTCGTGATTCTGCGATTGGGGAACTTTTGGCAAAGTTAAGAGATGTTGATGAAGTGAGTTCACTGTTGTCTCCAGCTGAACCTGTGCTGAGCATTCCTGATAGTGGCCTTCTCCATGTTTTAAGAGCTACCCCATGAACCAAGTTTTTATTTTATTTCTGAGCTGTCTGGAGACAAAAGCCCTTTCCTTTGTCCCTCTCCTCGCTGTTCCTTCCCTCCATTGCTTGCCCTGAAGCAAATTAATTTCTTAGCCCTGTGTTCTTGTCCCCAAAGTGGTGCTGACCTTGCTCCTGCCTGCCTGTCCCTGGCCCCAGGCAGTGCTTGGTGTGTGCTGGTGTCACAGCAGCCCAGCCCAGGAGCCAAAGCCCACAGTGCACCCAGAGCTGCCCTGCAGAAGGAGTTCAGCGAGCTCCCACAGGCAGGCTCTGACTCACACTGACATTGGCTGTGTTTGTGTTGGGTTTAGAACACTTACTGCACGCTTTACACCTTCTAATCTGTATTCTTAGTTATGATTTAAGGGGATTATGAATAACCTAGTGTCTCCACAGCTCACCAGAAGGTAGTCCCTGCTTGTGGCTGCACGGATCAGAAGAGTCACACAGTTATTAGCTGGCTAATAGATAAGCATCTGATGCAGGGATAGACTCTTGGCTTACCAGATTTCTCATGAACCACCTAGACAGGGTTTCCTGGTTTTTTGCTAATGTTGTACAATGCCTTTAACATGTCTAAGCACTTTAAATGTGTCAGGTGCTGTTATTAAGTGTGTTTAGGGAATACACAAGGTGTTATATCTCAGTACTTTGAAGTCAATGGCAAAATTCCCAAACATGAAAGCAGTGTCTGCTTGTGTTAGCAATCCTGACAGACAGCATGCACCCAGAGTCCTAGGTGAAGATCTGCCTACCAGAAAGTTTCTAATGCTGGGGAAAAGCCCCCAAACTTGAGTTTGGGAAAGTTACACCACTTGCTCCCATGAGATGTACTACTAACTGATCAGAGCTTTCCTGCATGCTGGGGAGTGGTCCCACTCTCCTTTTTGATGACCCACACACCCTTTCTGTGATTGCTACAAAATAAAGGAAACCAGTTTGAGAACTTCCAGTTTTTCTGTTTCCTCTTCACTTTTCTGGAGGCAGCAGCTGTTCCTGCTGCCTCATGTTCCTGCTGAACTGTCTCATGTTCCACCATCACCCCACTGGGGGTCTCTGCTCCAGGGGTGCTTCTCAGTGCCTGTGTTAGGGACTGGTTACGTCAGGCGCACAGTGTGGCTTGTGATGGAAGAGAGTGAGCCTACACCACCACAAAATATTGCCCTGCGGGGGGATATCCAGATTTCCCTGACTGATGGGAGGTCTTGGGGTTACTGGTGTTGGATGGGTGACTGCTCCCCAGTGTCTGGAGCAGAGGTAGTTCCCTCACGGACTGGAGAAGAGCTTAGGGTTCTGATTTCATATGAATGTGCTTGGCCTTTGTTCTCTGTTTGGTTTGTACTTCTGCTTTGGTTTGTTTATTCCTGAGACTAATTAGACATGGCTTGCTGTTAGGTTGATCTTGTTGACATGGGCAGTGGGTGCAGGGCAGCCAAAGAAGAGGAGGGTACAGAAAAATCCAGCTGGACTTTGCCAGGCTGCCCATCCAGTCACACATCCCACGCAGATCCTTCCCTGGCTCCCCAGCTGAAAGGAGTCAGAACAATTGTTTTAACCTTTTAGTCCTTTTAGGCTGTGTAATTAGGTTTTCTGATGAAAACATTGTCAAGTGTATGTGTTTGAGCCCTTTAGAGAAGTGTTATCTAAGTAGAGAACAGGTCTGGCAACCAGCTGGGACTTGATCTGGCTCTTGGAAGGGGGTAATGGAACCTCATCTCTTGGAGGATATTTCAGCTGCTGGCTCTTCCAAAGTGGGACAAGCCTACATCTATGGTTTGGAACATAAAATCTGGGGCTTCTCCTTTCCCAAGGAAAGAGCTGTACCCATGACTAAAAGGGGCACTCCAGCTCTTTTTGAGGTGTTCATCCCATTTGGGTTGTATTTCCTCAGGGCAGAGGGATTTCTCAGGATCAGCTTCACGAAGGACTCCCAGATACAACAGCATCCTCCTGTGAATGAGCTGAATTCCTTCGGGTCAGATCAGAACGGCCTTTGTAGCCTGCTGGCTTTAGAGTGCTATTTCTGATGAGGCAAAACACAGGGAACTGTGCCTTCTCCTCCATCTGGGAGGGACTGTCAGGGGAGGCAGTGAGCAGTGCCCAGAGTGAGCTGGGTGCTGTGTGCACCCTGTACTGGTGCTGCTCGGGCAGGGGATCCGTGCATTGGGATCCCCACATAGAGCCTGTACGCTTGGATCTCTGTATATTGGGATCCATCCCTGCACAGAGTCTGTACATTGGGATCCCTGTGCTGTACATTGGGATCCATCCCTGCACAGAGCGCTGCACATCGGGATCCCTGCACAGAGCCTGTACATGGGGACTGCTGTGCATTGGGTCCATCCCTGCACAGAGCTCTCTGTACATTGGGATCCATCCCTACACAGAGCCTGTGTGTTGGGATTGCTGTACATTGGGATCCCCGCACAGAGCCTGTACTTTGGGGTTCTATTCCTGCACAGAGCGCTGTACATTGGGATGGATCCCTGCACTATACACTGGGATCCCCGCACAGAGTGCTGTACATTGGGATTG